TCAGGCCTTTGTTCGCGAATAGTCTGCTCAGTATTATGCACATCTTGCTGGACCAGACAAGCCAAGATGAAATGTTGATAATCGGATGCCAGTCCCTTTTTGATTTTGTTAATAATCAGGTGTATTATTGTTTTTTCATTGTTTTTGTTTTTTGACGCCATTATTAGCTCCCTCAGGTTCTAATACAAGTATATGCCTTTCGTTTTTCCTTTTGCCCATCTTTTTCCAGAATGATGGAACGTACATGTTTAATCTAGAAGGATTAATTCCAAACCTTTGCCAAATGGCTCAAGAAGTGGGAGATGATCAGAGGGCAGAAAATCTGCGCGCAGCTGGCCTGCAAGCTTTATCTGCTATGGTTCGTTTTGCATGCAATAATTTGATCTCTTTTTCTTTCTTTCCTTTTTTTTTTCGGATTGTGTTTGGATCTTTTTATTTAAGGAACAAAAAGTTTAATTGATTGGCTTATCGGTATTTTACGTACCTATGTGTAGAATTTGAATGATCCTAGAGAGGACTGGAAAGTCTTATGGGTTGGTTTCTTAATTATTTAGAACTTTTAGCTTTCAATAATTATTAAAGCAAATCAAAGTGGATAAGCACATTAAAGGTTTAACCTTTAGCTGACTTAAAATCCTTAATTTCCTTCTTTCCGAATCAAGCATCGTCTCGGACCTCATTCACTTAACTTTATGGCACAAGTGGATTGATACAAAAAAAGATAGGGTATTTTGTTCATTAAGTTTGAGTTGAAACCATAATTTCAACCGTCGTGTTCATTTTCTTTGAGTCGTTCCTTGTGGATTTCATGAATGGACTTAGCCGTTGTTCCTACATATCCCTATGCACATTTGTCTAGTTCGTCTGGTTGATAGTTATGCTTTTTATGTTGTACAGGTTTGGTTTATGGGTGAAAACTGCCATATTTCAGTTGAATTTGACAATGTAAGCATAATTCACTAAGCTATATCAAGTTTTACTAAAAGCTAATTTATTTCCCCATTTACTAGATTTGTTATAAATATACCCCTCTTCATTCCATTTTTTTCAGATTGTTTCAGTAGTCTTGGAAAACTACAAAGGTCAAGGTAAGGAGTCTTGTGATTCAAATCAAAATCGATGGTTGCAAGAAGTTCATAAAACCGAGGGACACATCATCTCTCCTGGTCCAGATGTTGTTTCAATGCAGGTGCCTTCCTGGAGAGTGATTGTTGATGATAGAGGGCAACTTAATGTGACCGAGTAATGTTTTTTTTTTGATGATTTTTATTTTTATTTTTTTTATCACCCCAACATTTATTTATTTATTTTTTGGGTTATCTAAGCAAAAAATTAATCACGGCTTTGTTGTAATTTTTGCACAGGGAGGATGCCAAAAACCCGTGTTTTTGGTCGAGAGTTTGCTTGCACAATATGGCGAATCTCGGTAAAGAGGCAACCACTATGCGGCGTGTTTTGGAATCTTTGTTCCGGTATTTGGATAATGGGAATCAATGGCCGCTCGACAATGGGATTGCTTTTCCAGTTCTCAAAGAAATGCAGCTATGGATGGATGATTCGGGTCAGCTTACTCGAACTTTTTTTTTTTAAGAAACAATTGTAAAATGTCCCCTTTGACCTGGTCTCATTGAAAAACACATCAAGATTTAATCTTGCGAGATACTGATAACACATCTTGAAGTGTTCATAGCTACCTAACAAGTATAAACAAGTGTAAAATGATCCCTGAGGTTTCATCTCATTGCAAAACACATAAAGATTTAATCTATATAGTTACTAATAACAGTTCTTGAAGTGTTGATGTTCATAATACTCTCTGTCTTGTGCAGGGCAAAATACGCACTTCTTGCTGTCGATGTTAGTCAAGCATCTCGACCATAAAAACGTCCTAAAGCAGCCCAACATGCAAATCGACATTGTTCAGGTTGTCACGGCTCTTGCTCGGCTCACGAGGACTCAGTCTTCTGTTGCTATAGTGAGCGCTTTAAGTGATGTCATGAGACATTTACGGAAAAGCATACATTCTTCTCTAGACGATGCAAATCTTGGGGAAGAAGTAATTAAGTGGAATAAAAAGTTCCATGAAGTCGTTGACGAATGTCTAACAGAGTTGTCGTCAAAGGTACAATTTATTATTATTATTTTTTTTCCTACTCTCAAACCCTCAGCTTTTGGCATATTTGACAAATTGCCCCAATAAATGTTACAAACAGTTACTCGAGTGTTTGTATTTTCGTTTATAAGTTGAGTTCTGTTATGGACTTATGGTTGGTTGCTGTTGTGAAATAAGAAACAAACATTAAAGAGCAACTGGTTGTTTTTTAGTAGCCATTGAGTGCATACAGAGTCATAATGAAAAAAA